CGGTAATTCCCCGCGGACGGGGATTCCCTCCTCGCGTGATCACATCCGCGAGGCGCGGTGTTTTCGCGAGTAAACCGTGGCGCATCAACGCGCGATCATCGTGTCAATAAAAATAATTCGGCCGTCCGGAACTCGCGAAGGATATTTGTCTGCAGTGGAGAACGCATTTGTTTGGCCGGTTGCGGCCAAAGTGCTTGGATAGCGAGAGAGAGACCGGGAGGGGGACTGAGGGAGAGACAAGTTTGCCTTCGTCTCCCGGAGGAAATTACCGTAGATAGAGATGATGCTTGCAGGAGAATGCATTCCCTGATCGTGCGCTCGCGCACACGCGATTGCACGCTAATGATATTATAAATCTCGATAAACTTTTTCTTAATTTTGATAAATAATAACGATATCTTCCCCAAGTCCGACGCGCTATTATTATAACTACTTTCCTTTCATCATTGTAGACGATACCATCTGAGATGGGATCTTCATCCTAAGGATCTTCATTAAAAAGAAGATTTCAAGTCAGTGCAGAATTAATACGATACACTTTGTAGAAACGATGAGAACGATCTTCAATTACTTAGGATGTAATTTTTTTAATTATGAACGATGGTTTTGTGATTGTTTTCTTACATTTCTCCCCTGACGTTTTAACTATTTTTATATTATTTTAGCAACCGCGAATTACAATTATTATTTGAAGATCCGCGCTAGTGGCTGAAACGTGACAAGGATAAATCGACTTTGGGTGCCCCCTTCTCCCTCAGCTCTTTTTATAAGAAACCGGAGGCGTCCGATAGGCATTCTCGGTAGTGAAAGTATTAAAGATCTACGCAGAAATAGCAACAATAATCAGAAGGTCTAGTTAAGTCCTATAACACAATTGCAAATTGTATCATCTTGTAGCAACATTTAATTTAATATAATTTAAACATGAGAATCTAAAAAATATTTGAAGAGCGTTAAAATAATTGAGACGATTTTCAGATATTGCCGCGGATTTTTTTATGTCCGTATTTCTGCGTCCGTTTTTATCGCAAGATAAGATTATATCCTCACGAAAAATTGATCAAATTCGAGCTTGGATGACTAAGTCCAATGTCAAACGTATAGCGCTTAAGCTGGAATTACCAAGGCGAAATATAATTTTCTTTAGTGTTTCTGTAGTGTTTATTTTACAACTGCTCTGTGCTATTGTTAATGATAAAACGAGAAATTAAAAGTCAATTTAAATGATTTTGGATCAGATCAATTTTACTGGTATGACTTGAGACCACGCTTGGTTTAAAATATTCTGAGAAAGTTTCTACTCTAAATGAATATTCTAATATTCCAAATAATTTTACGACTTAACTTAGCTATAGTTTTATGTCCCGCCTTAGTAATCGTGCCACGCGCTTTCACCTTAAATAAACGACGAGTTAATATACGAATCTTGCTGCTTCAGTTCCATTTAGCCGTAAAAAAGAGGTAACCATGTAACTTTGACTCACCACCAGTTGGCTTGCGCGCCGCTTTGCCACGCGACGATCAGCAAAGACACGAGCAGGTAGCTCATTGACATGACGAGCGTACGTTGCGTGCGACGATCCCGTGTGTGTGTGCGTGCGTGCGTGGAGACTCTCTTTCTCTCTTCGTTAACTCGACCGCCGAATCCCCTCGAAAGTCGAATCTCCTCGTGGAAGATGCGCGAGGAAGAGATTTACGTGGCCCTTCGTTCGTGCGCTCCCCGTCGTCTCAGCCTCGCATTCTTACATGCGCCACCGACGACGGTCCGTGTTTTGCATCGTTTTTTTTCCCCCTCGCAAACGCGAGCGATATATCGGCGTGCGAATGTCGGCCCGGTGATGATCGCCCGACCGGCGGCGCGAAGGATCCGGTGCGCGAGGGAGAAGGAGAGTGACAGAGCGTGGCGGACCACAGGATCGAGCGATCTCGGAGCGCGCGCGCCCGGTGCGGATCGACACCCCGCGGTACCCTCGCGTCTCCCTTCTCACGCGCTGCGCCGCGCTGTGCTCCGAAAGACGGACGAAAGTTCTCCAGCTCCGGTCCCCCTCGTCTCGTCTTACATGTTTCCGGCGACGCGCGACCGATTCGAATGCCGCGACGCGACGCAATCGAGCAACGCGGACGGAGCCGATCGGCGGCCGTAGGTCGCCGTCGAAGTCCGTTCCTCGAAAAGCTTCGCGCGGTCCCGAGAAAAGGGACGAAGGGCGATCTCTGACGAGCCCTCGGGGATTTTAATCGGCGGAACTTTCGCGCTGGCGAAAAGCCGCGAGAACAATCGTCGTTGTCGTCGTTGTCGTCGTCGCGCACGGTGACCGCAACCCGGAGCCGACACGGGCGAGACGACGCTCCGTGAACGTTCGCGTACGGACTGTGGCCGGTAGTCACGAGGAAAAGGGCAACGGGGCTCTCACGATGGGCGGAGTCACCGTACGTTCGCGGCTCGCCGATTGGTCGCGTCGGCGAAGAGCCTCCAAGGCTCCACTCGCGCTAATTAAGCATTTCGGCGCACCGGCGGACGGGACGGTGCGAGCCGCGTACGGTTCGCTCGCTCGCGATTCGTTACTCGGACTCGCGCCTGTCTCATTGAATCTGACTTAACGGTGAGACCAGGTGAGACGCGATCACGGCTGTTCTGCGTCGCGTCGAGTCGCGCGATCGCGCCGCGTAAATACGTTTCGTCGCTCGAGATGAGAAATCATCTCGAACATAGGAACCGACATTTGAAAAATACCGCTATTCCCTGTCCCTGTGCGTATTGGCAGTATCACTCGGAAATATCATTCTCAAATGCTCAATAAACATCGCTTTTGATAGATACAAAAATTAAATATAATTTTTAAAATTATTACAACAATTCATAAATGTATCTTAATTTAATTTTTTTTTGTTTACTGAGATGATAGAGAACGTTTATAGAAGTGAAATGAAATCAGTAAATTAAATAATTAATATTTCACATAGGAAATAGTGGATAATCAATGATTTTTTCTTTGAGAGAAATGTAGATAATGATATAAAAATTTCGACTCGTGATTTATTATTTTCAATAAAAAGAACGTTGCCGGCATAAAAATTATGTCCCTACTTGTAATATTAAAAACGCGAAAGTGACATTAAGCATAACGTCGATACGTAAATTTGTTCAAGCGATGGCAAATAGCAAATGCGAGTAATTTCAAATATTTAATTTTCTATTGCTCAAATTTTCCTTCGCAAAGTTAAGAACGTTTAAGAAACGTTCAATGTAAAAATAAATTTTAAATAAAGCTGTATTATGAATCTTCACTTCTGAAAACACAAAGTCCAGAAAGGGGTTCGTATATTGTAATGTGTAACTTTATTAAAGTTACGTTTATTTATTTAAATTTATAGCGTACATATCGCGTACATTGTCTTATTCGAATGTTATCTGAAAGATGAGTTACAAATTAATTGATGTAATACAGTTGAAATTATTTCTCGTCATTATGATAATGGAAATAGGAGATTCCATTCTCCTTGACAGGAACGATTGTTTCGTTATTTCCTGCCAGTCACGAGAATCGGATTGTTTAATCAATACTGATGTATTGTAATCCAATCATAATTTATTTAATATGCATTTCGCGTTTTCTTCGTATCCAGACATAATTTTTTTATTCTAAACAATGATTATATCAAGTAACATATGTACATCATCAAAATTTATAATTATATATAACAATCCAAATTTTTAGAACTTTTGAATCGAACAAGTTTTATAATGGATATAGATTTAACGAATTATATCTAACTATTGTAACTACAGGTATTTTATGTGATTAAGATCAACTTAAATAACAAATTTTTATGAAAAATATCAATTCAAATCAATAGTTGCTAGTTTCTCTATTATAAATTCATCTTTATTACATGCCTGACGAAGATATTAATAATTTTTAATCCTCGATCTTTTTTTATTTTACATGTATGTTGACTCATGTTATATCACGATGTAACGATGTAATTTACGAGTATAATAGTATATCATGGAGTTAAAATCGATATAATCTTGCTATAATTGAGATGAAGATATGTGCTAATTGACCATAATTATACATAATATCCGTTTTAACACATAAGCGTAAAAACAATTTCGATTTTGGATTTGTCAAAATCATTTTACTTTCAATCTTTATAAAATTAATATTATGAATTATAAACTATAATATAAAGTAACGCATATATTATGCGAAATAATTCCCACACAGCAGAAATATTTCAAATATAGCGATATCCTAAAGATATCACATACCTATCCCAAATATATTGTATATATTGTATATATTATATATCTTTAAATATATTGTATCCCTACAATATATTTTGGACACTTCTGCTGTGGGTTGCAATAATCGAAAACGTAGGTAATTATTGCTGTATTTTTTAAAATATGATAATATTTACGTTTTAGTTTTGAAATGAGAATCGTGCTTTATTTACTTTCAACAAAAAATAAACCAAATATAAAAAAATCCTGTTTTCTGCATATTATTTAACAACCGTGAATGGAATTCGGTGATCTCAATTTATTACTTATCGTAAAATACTTATGATTATGTAATTTATTATGTAATTAATTTATTGAATTCGTATTAATTAAAACATTTGTCCAGTTAAAGTCAATTTATATTAAAAGTTCTTTGAAAAAATTGGAAATAAATAAATTAATATTTATTATGTAAAATTTTCTAATAAATCAACTATTCCTTTTCTTAAAAAAAAAAATTCTTTATATTTTCGTTTATATTCGTTATATTTCTTTGTAAGTGCTATTATTTATATTATGAAGCTAACACTGCCATCTACGGGTCTGATAGGGTAATTAAATTTAAATGAGCAACAGTGGATAAAGGTTTGAAAAACATAATTAGTTAATAAAAGCATTTTTTTATATAAAAAAATTATAACCCACGATAAATTATTACAAATTATTGATAAGTATGCTTATAAATAATTGTCTTACGGAAACAACACCGACATACAAATCACAAAAAATTTATTTTCTTCCTTGCAGAATCATATTATGTAATATATACATATATGAGTATATATCACACAATATTTCGAAACTAGTAACAATGTTAATTTTACATCTCATTTTTATTCAATGTAACATAATACGTTTCACTAAAAAAAATCCTGTTTTCCTTTGATCGCCAAGGAATGCGCTCTAAATCTAACGATATAAGATTTTAATATTAATAAACAGTGAAATTATTTTAATAGTGAGAAATATATATGTACATTTAACAAAGCAGAAAATTATCTCACTGATGACAGAAGTGCTTTGGTAATTTGAGCTACAACCTCATATACGCATTAATTTATACTCAAGGCACTGTCACTGCATAACAAAATTCTGAATTGACATGTCATGTGACAACAGAAATAATAATTCTTAACTTGACAGCTGATTGTAGTAGTATTCAATGTGTCATTTTGAAAAAAAATTAGGACAAACAGAGAAATATCACATTCGTTGTTTGAAAGTGTCTTGCGTGGTCATACAGGTGCAAACTCCGTTTGTCGTTGCGAGGGATTGTGGTACAGACCGGCCATCGCTTCCTGCAACGCTCGCAGGCACGCGACGTGCGCCCTAAATCCGCCCGCTCTTTCGACCTGGCAATCGTTACGTATGTGCGAAACGTATCCACGAGGTTGGAGCTCCCGCCAGGTGGGCGGCGACGGGCCGTCTATCTGCTGCCGGATGGGCGTGTAAGAGTAGAGAGGCCCCTCTTCTACCTTTGGCACCGATAAGTAATTCTGATTTCCCTGAGTACCAAATTTAATTCCCGTACTGAACTGATTCGTCCGGACGGTGGGCGACGAGGCGGCCTTCGCCTCCTTCCTCTGCGTCTGTATCGCGGAGGCGAACGATTCGACGATGTTCTTGGCATTCGCGTCGGAGAACGTCAGCTCGTCGATCAGAGCTTCCTTCTCGCGAATCTTCTTCTTCTTCGCCTCGACCTCTTCCTTGGCAATTTCTATCCTCCTCTCCTCCTCCTTCTGCTTCTCCAGCTCTATTATCTCCTCCAGCTCGTACTCGTTTCTGCCGAGCTTCGCTTTACTCTTCGCTATTTGCTCCTTGTTATCCTTCTTATACTGCTCTATTTTCTTGTTCATTTCAACCACGTCGATGTTGTTGGCCAGATTATATATTATAGTCTCGATTTCCTCCAGATAATCGTTATATTCCCTTAATGTAGAAAAGTCTTCTTCCCTTTTGTTAAAATCTCGCAGGATACGTTTCCTTATATTCATTTCCTTTTCGACCATAGAATCCTCGAACATTTGAACCCTAAAGTTCGTCCTCCTCAGTGGAATTTTGCATTCTGGACAGGATCCGGAGCCTGAAATAATTTCAATTGTAAGCATTACTGAAGTGACACTCTCCGCTTTCGTCAAAATAAAATGCAAACAAATAATAATCGTGGAAGTGGATCGAACCTTTCAGAAAGAGCAGGTCCACGCAGCTCTCGCACAATGCATGCCCGCAGACGTTCACCATCATCTTCAACGATGGATTTCGGTATTTGGTGGTTTTACACCGTGGACACGCCTGGTCGTCCATCTTCGGGGGAGAACAAAAAAAAAATAAAGTAGATTTGACAAGACGTTCCTTTACCTGGCTCGGAATAGGTTACGTGCAAACGCAATGAATCTCAACTTACCGTTGTAAACTAAGTTGTTATCTCTCGCACGAAGTAATAAGTTAAGGTAACTGCTCGGTACAGCCAGCTGCCACTCACAAACTACCTGCTATTACGTTCTAATATCATATTTAAGATAATGTTGCTTGCACACGATGATCCATGCAACTCGAGCAACATAACCTACGACGTAGTCGAAGCCACTTCTCGAACACACACGCGCTTCGGTCTCTCGAGTACTATCGAATCGCATATCGATAGACTGCATTGAGTAATATGATTTCGACTTTGAAAGAAATTTCATTGCACAAAGCTCATTTAGTCGTCTTCCATTCTCTTGATATATCCTATTTTCATTTGTTCACTTCGTTTGCTTACTTTATTCCTTTTATCAATTATATACAGTAGATGGAAGTTAATTGAGAACAAAGAAACTGCGAACTTAACAAGCATTTAATTAAGATAACTATATGTCTTTCAGTAAAAATATATAATTAGTTCCACTAGAATTTGCTACAATTAAAATTAATATGCTACAGAAAATTTTTAATGCTCTTATTAATAGATTCATTTTTCCTACTAGATACATATTATATTTATTTCATCAAGTAAAAATATATATAGTTTTAACTTTATAATTTATTTTATATTATGTAACATTTTGTTGCATACACATATACATATTTCTATTTAACTTTATATTTTATCCTCCTATTTTATTTACTTTGGAAAAGCATAGCTTTTCCAATATACTTTACTGAATTGAGGTCAAGACAGGTCAAGACTTAATAAAGTGAATTATTAATTCTTAATTAAATGAACTTAAATTTATTACTCTCTTTCTTATTTCATGTTTAAATCAAATATTCCTATTTTAAATATGATATTAAAAATACATAAGAAAAATATAATTTTAAATATATCTAATTTACATACGTATGTGATATTAAATATATTTTAAAAATAATATAAATTTAAAAAATATATTTTTAAAATTTATATTAACGATGTATTTTATATATATACATATGTATATAATTTTAAATATAATTATATTATTTAGCTTGAAGAAATAGAGGCTCGTATAATGTATTATTATTATTATTTTAATTTTTTAAAAATACACTTATGTGTGTATACATACATATTTTTTTAAATATATATACACATAATTTAATTGAAAAATTCTCAACACTATACATACAGACTGTCTTTGCCACATATAATAAAACACTGAAATACGTAGCAGTAGATTATACTTATTTTTTGAATTTATGAGCTCTGTATGATTACGTAATTTACATGCGTCAGCAAGTAAAGAGAAAATTAGAAAATAGCACACATATTTTTCCGTGTGAATTCAGTCTCCTGTTTCTGATCTACAAGAAACTGACGTATACGTTCATTTTTAAAACAAAAGTTGCGAAATTACTCTGCTCTTTTGTTTTTCGTTTTACATTCATCGTGCGCTCCGCTGTAACAATTGTTAAACATCGCCGTTTTAGATTGCAGGGGGAAAAAAAAGAACGCGTTACGGCGGAGGATCGGAGATACGCTTCAACAGACACGCTTAATGAGCACAAACTTTCCTGACAGTTCCGCAAACTTGCAGTACAATTGAATTTATTAACCCATTTATCTAATTCGTTGTCGAACGGACGTTTGCTTATTGAATATTTGCCTCTGTGGAGCTTGTTGTCGACTGATTAAGTTTCGCCGCAGTACTTTTGCGCGCCGCGAAGCAGAACAGAGCGAAAATCGTAAAGTAGCGTTGATAGTAAAGTAACGTAAAGTAGCGATCGCGCGTGCGAGTCGCCGGCGAAAAAGAGGATCGAGTTAATAAGCCGATTAGCGATCAAAGGGCGGAAATATTGCCGCGAGCGGCGCAAAAGGATCACGATCTTCCGATGGCAAACAACGCTGCAAAATTTATGGCCTAAACAGAGAGAGAGAGAGAGAGAGAGAGAGAGAAACAGAGAACATTCGCGGAAAAAGTGAAAGCAAAACGGGCAGGCGCGAAACACGGCCAACTGGTGCATCAGTTACAAATGCGGAGTTCGTTGCCACGAAAGCTTTTGGACGCCTCCGATTCTTCGCCTTTAACGCGTTCACGGGCTTAGGGAATTCGCGAGAAAAGGATGAATGACGTGAAATATTTCGTTTTTGTTCGCATGATCGACGGTACATTTTATTTTATGAAAGAACCGAGATAGAAAGAGAGAAAGAAACGATATTAATGCAAAATACAACATACGTGTAATTATTACTGGTTTTAATTTCGAGCAAACGGATTTATAAAGATATTGTTAATTATCGTAGCAAGTTTGCGTTACCAGAAAATTAAAAAATAATATGTAAAAGTTAATAAACTGTTCATAATACAGACTAGGAATTAATTCGAAATGAAAAATATACAAAAGCACGCTATAGAACTCGGTAGTGTTCGCAAATATGATAAAAAATTCGAAAAGGAAGGAGACAGGGCTTTTTGCCCTCCGCATAATAAATAATGTTTCAATGCGATGAAAAACATTTTCAATGTTTTACATAACTTTTAATAATTTCCGTGCGCTCTTTTAACATTTAAACATTTTTTTAAATTATTTTTTAAAATTCTTAAAAAAATGTTCGATCAATTTCCTTCGAAAATACGAAATTTCTAACAGAAATAATAAAAGCAAAAAAGGAAAAAATTATATCGCGCAGCGCACGTTATTTAAATTGTTCAATTCTACGCCGGCGTTTTACCGTTCCCCTTATACTATTTATAAAGCGCAGTGTAATTCCCGTAACAGCGACATGTGTACAGATACAATTTCCATACGTTCTGAGATATTCTAACCGACTGGACCAACAATCCTAAACTCGACTAGGAAGTGCAATGATAGCGGAGTATAAACGTGTGGTGGAGGAGGGAAGGAAAAAAAAACACAAATAGATCCTATAGAATCTATCCACTGCCAAGTTTAATCGGCGCCGTGGTATCTCGCGGGGGCGGTATTCGATTCCCGGATTCCCGGCTAGGGATGCTGTGGTGCGAAGGGAGCGCGCGAGGGTGAACCGGGAGAAAGAGAGAGAAATTACGATGGGGAAAAGGAAGGCAAGGAGAGAGCGGGAGCGTGCGCGACGGCGACGGCGACGGCAACGACGACGACGACGACGACGACGATAAAACGAAGAGAGATACACGCTTGCGCCAGGGATATCACCCTCATCTCCTCGCACACACACACACAGTGTGCGCTCCCCCGGCGCGAGGGGACGAGAGTGCGGGGCGTTGTGCGAGGATAGATGGCAGGGCGTCTCTCCCGGGCCGCGCAGGGCCGCGCAAAGCCGCGTTGCACGCACTGTCAGTCCTCTTCAGTTTCGCTCGGCTATCCGTGCAACGGAGTTGACCCCTCGCCAGCTGGATCGGCCCGCGCCCGCGCCCGCCGCCGATCCCGAGATCATCCCCTTCGCGCGAGGGAGGGCCACCGCCGCCGCGTGTCGATCGTCGTCGCGTGACCGGCTCGACACGCTCGGCGTCGCGACGCGTCGAGACGCGCCGGAGACACGCCTGTCGCCGACAGGAAACAGGATCGCGTGGCGTACGTTCTCACGGCAACCGCGTTCGCTCCTCTCTCGGACACTGGCTTCCTAATCTCCATCGGTGCCGATCTCCGGTCTTACACCGGCAAATTGACACCGGGGAATCGAATAGAGTGAAAAAGAGACACGGTGAATCGAATCGAGACTCGAGTTCTCCGGAAGAATAAAGAGAAAAACGTGCGGATTTTCGTACTTCGTATACAGGCAGGGGCGAGCGACGATCTCCGGCGAGTGACTTCGGGCCGAGGGTGCGATAAGACGGGGGAGAGAGAGACAAAGATCCGGAGGGATGCACGTATCACGCCCCGCCGGCGCTTTTCAATTACGCGAATCTAGATCACGAGGCTGTTAGCGAATTAAGCGGGCTTGAGAGAGCGGACTATGCGGGCTGGAGCGCGAGATGGAAAGAGGGAAATAACGATCGTGCCGTCGTCGCGATGAGAAATCGCGTTGGGATAGATTCGAGGCAGGTCCGAAGCAGCGACGTAACGGTGCCATGGAGCGTGGAGGCGAGAAGAACCGGGAACCGTCGATTTATCCGATAAACTTATCCTGATTCCGCTTTTCTTTGGCGCACGTTGTTGCCAATTTTCGGGGTGCAAAGAGTACGATCACTCGCGGGCCGTTTTACCGGTTTTACAGGCCTGCGACAATCGCTCACCACCTCATCCCCCTTTCCCCTTTCGAGGGGGGGCGGAGATCGATCGGAGATCGGACAGAGACGCGGTGCACCACAGTCCACAGGAGGAGATCGACCGGCAGCCCCGAAACGACTATGAGAGATAAAAAATGAGGTGTCTAATCTTGACCCTCGGTCTGCTGGTTTCGGGTGAGTCGAATAAATCGCGTTCGGAAATCGCCCGACCGGTCGTGTCGTCAATCACCCGGCGCGTCGCCGACACCGACGGCCACACACGCCGTCAAATCTCTGCCCCGACGTACAATCGCCGCGGAAGCGAGAGATCCGCGTTCACGCAAATATACGGCCGTAAACATTCAACAGTTCTCGAATGCCGCGAGCGATAAATTACGTTAGTAAAATCGCGATACGTTATACAAAATGTCGCGTAACGCAATTTTGTCAATTTTGTCACGCAAATGAAATCATTTCCGCTCGTTAGCCTTCGTATATTAACTCCCTGCAATTTGCATTTGGCCGAAAAACGTGTTAGGAATTTTCTTGGCTTTTATAAGCCCCAGTTTTTCTTTTTGCGCGCTCTCCCTCTCCCCTCCTCTCTCTCTCTCTCTCTCTCTCTCTCTCTCTCTCTCTCTCTCTCTCTCTCTCTCGGCCTACTTCTTCATCTTTTTTTCTATTAGCGTTTAATTAAAAAAAAATTTTTATTTTGTTAAAATAGTTGTCTATCTACTAGATGATTTGCTATATTTACATATTCATATATTTTTTGTAAACAAAACTTTATCTTTTATTAAGTAGCTGTGATTTTTTGAAGTAGCATGCTGTATTTTTTAAATCTTTATTTCTTCTTTTTGTTATTGTTCCTTTCACAATTTAGTTACATTTAGAACTGTGTTATACATATAACCGTGATTATT